TTACGTGATTGATGTTGAGGTGACGTGCATGCTAGGTGATCGGCGTGTGAATGTGCACCGTGTGAATTGTGATTTAGTCGATTCTATGGAACGGTGTAGCTACCTTATGTGAACAGTTTTACTCTACTCTATGTGTTAGAGAACCTGAGCTGTAATTTATGCAAGAAATCATGTTTAGGCTATATGTTGGTACTATTGGGACCCGCAATGGTCGTTCTTTATTGTTGAGTTATTTGCTTAGTTGCAGTTATGTACTCAGTCACATTAATCATTAGATATCATATCTCAATATCTGTTATCGTATATTGTCACATCTCGTATCATTGATTAGGGATGCTTAGCACGAGTGTTGTGAACCCGAGAGACTAGATAGATTGATGACTAGGTGAGGCCGAGGGCCTGTTGTGAGTGATATTTATGGATCGGGCTGCACGCCGCAGCAGGCTTTATTGATTCATGATAGGATTTGGCTTATTATAGCGTTTGGACTGGATCGGGCCCTCCGGAGTCTGCACATCCACCGTAGGCGCAGTTGATATTTATTTTTGGGCTGGATCTTCCCTAGATTCATTTGCATTTGGATGGATCTGCCCTGGATCTATTTATGTTTGGGTTGGATCTGCCTTGTACAGTACTGAGTGACTGAGAGTGCTGAGTATTTAGTAGGATGAGTGAGAATACGAGATAGTCAGATTTAGTACTCTGAGAGTGTGAGTACATGAGTCATAACTGAGGTGCATTACATGTGACATGCGTACTTGAGATACAGGCATAGAGATGCATTTCCTCATGCTACCCGATTTTGGTGACATTCATGATTTTACTTGCATATTGACATGTAGGTGTAGAGATGTACTTTCCTCATGCTATCTAAAAATAAAACATCTTAATTATTGTTGAAATATTTTTAGGGGAAAATTACAGTTTTCAGATTTATTCATAACTCTGGTGATTTGGTGAAAGAACTGAGTTTTACTGACATCTTTGAAAAACATGCTTATTTTCCCGTAACTGTGAACGAGTTGAGCATCGTACCTCTGAATTATTTCTTGTACCATTTTTATCATGTTATTATGAACTATTGTTGGCTATTAGTGTTGGACTTCGACCCTTGTTCTAGCTCGTCACTACTTTCAACCTAAGGTTAGGTTTGTTACTTATTGAGTATATGGGGTCGGTTGTACTCATACAACACTTCTGCATCTTGCGTGCAGATGTTGGATGCTGATGTTGCTGCGTACGGCGGGAGCTGGATCTGAAGATGAACCTACGTTCTAGTTATGGCTATCACTTGTCCTTAGTACCATTAGATTCGAATTATGTTCATTTACATTTCAAACATATGTTGTAATTATTTCAGTTCAGTCTTGTAACGAAATCTAAATCTTAGAAGCTCGTGATTTGTACTACCAGTCCTTGAGAAATTCTTTGTATAAAAGCAGTTGTATTATTATTTTTTCTCTTAATAAATCTCATTAAGTTGGATAGTTGTTAATTGGCTTACCTAGCGGGTTGTATTAGGTGTCATCATGGCTAGTTAGATTTTGGGTCGCGACACAGACGGCAAAGGATATCAACGGCGCCGCCGGAGGAGGAGTGATGCGAGAATGAAATGTGGAAAGCCATTGTTGTTCTTCAGGAGTAGTACAGGCCGCTTGTGGAGGAGTACCCGACCATTATATTTAGTTGGAGTTTAATTAAATAGGGAGTTTCAATTGTTACACTTTAGTCCTCTTAAGTTTATAGTTTATGTTTTATAGTATTTGCATTGAGTCTTAATTTCTGTACGATGGGCACTTTTGACCCTCGATAGTACTGTCAGCTGAGGAAGGGTACGACCTTATCTCTTAGTAGTGATCCTAGGGGAATATTTCTCTATATATTTGTAATTCCCTGCATTTTGGCTGAATCATCTATGAAAGTATCTTAGTTTAAACCCTAGAATAGCTTTTAACTTAGCTTTTTATCTCTATTTCCTCCGCCTCTTGTTACTGTTTTATTGCCTTTGGCATCAAGGAAAAGGAGGAGGGATGTTTGTAAAAGTAATGACCGATGAGCAAATGGAAGTCCTTCGTTCTTCCCTAACCTCCTTCTCTAGCGAATCACTCCCATTTCCAGCCCCGTTCTCCTTTTTCTCCAACTAAACCCATCACTGAATCAGTCCCCCTCCCCCCAAATTCGTCAATTTTAGTAAAGTTTTCATCTAATTTTAATACTCCATCATCTAATATGAAGGTGACGGATTGTATGTGGGAGAAGCAAAAGGACGAAAAAGAAAAAAAATAAAAAAAAATTAAAATAAAGTGAAAAGTAGTATATTTTAATTTTGGAAAAGAAAAGATACGCTTAGATTATGCTCTCATGCGTTACCGTGAAGTGCAGAATATTCTCCATGCCACATAAGCATAAAAGGGGGTAATAATATCACTTCAAACATGTATAAGGGGATTATAGGACCTCACAAAGATAAAGGGTGCATCTGGCAATGGTTAAACCTCAATGGGATAATTATGTGTTAGCCCTATTTCAATCTATAAAGAATTTTGTATCTTTCTCTCAAATATTCGAATTTCAAATTGAAATGAAAAAGTAGCAGCAAATGGAAATAAGTTGTCCGGAGCAAGATCTGAATCTACCTAAGAATTTTGTCTTTCTGCCAAATATTCCAACATCAAAGGGAATAAAATGGAAATAACAAATGAAACTTGTAGGGATCCGAATTTGAATCTACAAAAGATTCATTGTCTTTCTCCCAAACACTCCAATATCAAATTGAAATGAGAAATACAACAACAACAACAACAATAACAACAACAACAAAAAATTTAATGTATTCCCAACAGGTGAGATTTGGGGAAGATAGTTTGTACGCAGACCAAATTAAAATGAGAAATAGTTCAAAAAATAGAAATAACAAATGTAATTTGTCGGGATCAGGATTTGAATCCGGAGAAGAATTTTGTGTCTTTCTCCCAAACAGTGTTTTAAAAGGCGTATTCGGGGCGAACCCTAGAGCGAGGCGCACCAAAAACACCGTAAGGCGAGTGTGGGACGAAAGTCTCAAGAGGCGTATGCCCAGGCATTCGGGGCATACGTTCTGGCATTTGAGGCGCATTTTTTTAGTGAGGCGTAAGCCCCAGAGACTTTTTTAAATTAAAACAAAATTTGTTGATTAAGTCATTCATATAATACCCAAATTCTCAAAAGTCAGCTTGGTAATTACTCAAAAGTTTTATATGAACTGAAATATATTAAATTTAAAATTCAAGACCTTTTTTATTGATTGAAGCCCTAATTTATGGTCTTTCCCAATTCTTTATCTTATCCGCTAGTCAGCTAATATCTCCTAAAAGCAACGAAAATTTAATTTTTTTTACAAATACAAAGAGAACTACATTCTCCTTTATAGCAACAAGTTCAAAGTTTNATATATATACGCCCCGTGCCTCGAGACTTACGCCTCGATGAGGCATATGTAAAATCCCTCGCTTTACGTCCACGCCTTTTAAAACTCTACCCCCAAATACCCCAAATATCCCAATATCAATTTGATGAAAAATGCTTGGGCGGAGGGGGGAGGATTTGGAAAGAGAAAGTGACAATTGCCTGGAGCAGCATGTGGTAGATGAAATCTAGATCACTCCCCAACCATCATTTATCACCCCTTTTTAAAAAAAAAAGTAACCATCTCATTCATGCTGAAGCATAGGGTCTGCGTAATAGGGTAAATACCGAATTACCATATTGAAATAGTAAATTTTATGGTATGTATTTTGATATTTGGTATAATATTTGGTTTTAAGTTTTAAAATAATTTGGTATTTGATATTTAAAAAAATAATATCGAAATACTGATACCGTACCGAAATATATACTAAATCCACATTCCGGATATTATTGATTAGGCTACTTAGGCCAATCTTTTCCTTAAGGTTGCAGCAAATTTCTTAATGTTCCAAGATAATTCATTTATTTGTTAAAAGGAGATGAATCCTTGAGAATATAGAATCTATGGCAAGCTTGGAAATCTTTTTCTCCATTGAACAAGGGCATTGTGGTCAACATTTTTGTCAATATGTTTGGTCGATTCGATAGGTGTACGAGACAGACCTAACGACCATGTTCCTCTACATCACACTGCCTGTGTGACTTGAATAGAATATTTTACCGCTGAACAAGTCAAAGCCAATTCAACTTAATGGTTTCTGCATTTGTGAATAGAAGCTGTATTACCAGATTATATACAGTAGGGTGGATCCCCTGCCAGAAAACGTGAGATCCTACTAAGTCAAAAGTGCTTTTTGGCCAAAATTAAGAGTACATTTCGACATAAGAATTTTTTTATTTTTTTTCGAAATCTGGTCATTCCTTTTAGTGGTTTCTTTAATGGAGATGTAGGCAAGGGAACAGGATCATTCTTCTTTCCCTCTTAAGCCAAAGAAAAAGAAGAAAATTTTCCTCAATATTCTATTCCCCCTTTAATTTATTTCTCTTCTTTATCGCCTGCTTTCTGTTTGGATCACCAGTGACATCATGAAACTTGTGTGGAAATAGATTCATAGTACTCAACAAGTGTAAGAATGCAACCAAAGAAAATAACTCTCAGAATATGCAGCAAGCAAATCATAAATCATATACATCATCCACCTTGAAATTGACAATGTACACCAAGTCATTAACACTTCAACTACATCAGCAGGGAACTAGTAGTTTATCAAACATAGGTACTTTACAAATGAAGAGAGCAACCACAGCTTTCAAATTATGTTCTTCGCGAAAGAAAACTTAAGACTGCAACAGATACTATTCTCTGATGTGCCGTGCGATGAGGCCATTAAGCAGAAAAAACCCAAGATTTATTTGCAGCAAATAGACCACAAACATCATATGCAGGCGTCTTCAGTGATTAGTGACCACATCATTTGGCATACATGAATGAGGTCCATCTATCACCAGCTCCTTTCTTTAAGTAAACGTATATACAAGAAGCCATAGCAGTATCAGACACAAGCCATTGTCTCAACATATTGGTGGGTGTCATACCATTCAAACACCGAAACATCTTCCCACATGACCGAAATCTTCGCTGTCCCTAAATCAGCAACCTCCTTGATAGTCATACGACGAGCATCATATTCAATAATAACTTCTGGCATGCTTACCAAAAATCTTGATGTCTGTTCCTTGTCATCGACAATAACAGATACAATATTGCACGTTCGACGATTCACATCTAGTAAATCAAGTTCTTCACTCAACATCAGTGGATATGCAATATGCAGAGCACTAAGATCAACACGATACTTCACAAACCACTGACGATAATCACTCCCCAACTCGAGAACTTCAAAATTCATTGAACTAAAATTTTGTACCTCAATAAGATGCAAATGTCCACCAGACTGCCCAAAATACCTTATATTCCTTTTCAACAAGCCATTAAGAATTACAGTGCTAGGCATAGTTTTAAAGCACAAAGAATCCAAATCGAACCTTATAAACAACCCACCTTCACTAACCCAATGCATACAGCCATTCAAGAACACACCCTGAGCTAAAAAGTATTGCTTTATATCCAATATCTCCTTAGAATCTTTCCAAATTCCAGATTGTGATGAATATACATAAAATTCATAAATCCCATTTGATTTCATCACACAAACAATTCTATAACTATCAGAAACCATAGGATCAAAAGCCATATTCATTACCATAATCTCACAAGGCTTTGTATCTGGAAGTGGAATCAACCTATGCTGATTTGTACTGGGATTATAAACATAGCATACTTGATTTTCAGCACCCAAGTTGAAGTTAATACAGAACAATCCATTACAAGAATGTAAAGATTGAAGCTTTGAAGTTGTACACGTGGCAAGATTCTTGAATGCTAAAGGAATCATATTCATTTGTGTTTTAGGCATGCCATTGAAAGGGATGAACTCCAAATGGTCATTTCCATAAACCCACCAGCAGAAAAAGAGTCCATCAACTTTTCCGGAACTGTGTTTTCTCTGGCACTGAAGTCGTCGGAAACTTTGGCTTGAAATAAGGGAAAACCAGTATTTACAGACGGTTTGGGATCGCAAAAGGGATTTTGGGGGTAACCGGAGGAGAATCTCTGTCAAAAGATCAGCATTTCCGGTGATTTCGGTGCCTGATGCCGGAAAATCTACCGACCGATCACCGGAGATTCCATTTAAGGAAGTTTCCGACATTCTCCCGCCAGACCCGGCCTTAGGGAATGTGTTCTTGGTACGGTTTTCGGGTGAATCGTATAAATAGAAGGCGGAATTAGAGATTTTACGTATTTAGTCCGTGTGTTTTTAGCTATTTTAGTTGTGGTCCTGCTGTTTTGTTTTTAGCCAAGGTAGATATTTTCACCAACAATTTGAGCAAAGGTGTCAATAGCATTCTTTACCATCCAACTTAGAGAGTAATTTTCCTAAGATTCTTCCTTTGACAAAGTAATAGAAAACTTAGCTAAGTTATGTGTTAGTTTATCTACACTTTCAAGAATATAAACAAAGTAGACATGATCAAACAAAGTCGATAGCTATATTCACAAGTCACTTCTATAAAATTTTGCGTCTCATAAAATCTTCACCTTCTTTCAATCATTTGTAATTGCACGTTCAAGAGTCATTCTTATAACAAGCGCTTCAGCAATCATGACTTTTTCTACAAACTTGATTGAAGATCCATAAGCATGAAGCGGTTTCCAAGGCTATCCCAAACCACAATACCAATACTCACTTGTCTAGCGTCCACATGTAAACCTGCATCATTAAATAATAATATATCATCTTGCAGATTTGTTAATTGAGCCATACATCAATTCTCATTTTGAGAAAAATGTAGATGAGCAAGTAACTAAAATCTCTTTATAGTTATGATAATTAAATAGAGACCTATAAACGATATCATTTAGTTCAAACATATCTTGATTAAAATACAAAGCATTCCTAGCTTTTCAGATTTGCCACATAATATTAACACTTAAATTTATTAATTCTATCATCTCACGATATTGTCTAGCATCTGCAACCATCTTATACCAAACCAAACCAAACTGAAAAATTATTAATATTTTCTAAATTAGGCCAGTTTATAAGACTTAGTTTTCACACAAGTTGAGAATGAGTATATCTAAATGTCATATGCTCAACATCCTCACCTTCAGTACCGCATATCTTACATATTCTCTCTACTTGATATTCTTTTAGCAAGATTTTATAACTTACAGGAAAGAAATTAAGAATATATTTCTTTAGAAAATGTTTAAGTTTATTTTTGTTGGCCTCAGCGGTATAGATTTTGATGATTGACAAAGGAACGCATGCAAGAACCAGATCCATGGACACTATACATAGGGTACGGTCAGAATCAAGCAAAAGGCATGCACGTGTAAGGGATAAGTATAGGTGGTTATTTCTGATAATCCCTAAACGAAAAGATTGCATATTTGATAAGGAGCAGGACTCCTTACTTAAAGAGAACTATATCCAAGATAAGGAAAGAGTTAGAGGTTAAAGTTAACTAAAACTCTTCCACCCAAGGAAGAGTAAAGTATTAGACTTCTAGTTACTCCTTATTCTACTAACTCTATAAATATCAGTGTTATTCTCTTTTACATGTGACACATATGTACTGAAGTAAAAGCATAATTGAGAGAAAAATAGCAAGGCATTTTGTGAGCAATTCCTGTGAGATTCAAGAGTACGATCCTGAAACTATATGAACCAGATTGAAGAATCAATTTCATAAAGAGTTTTATGTATCTGTCTTTATTTCTAGTTTAAAGTGTAGTAGACGTTTTGAATTGTACCTTTCAGCTCTCTTTAGAAGCAAATTATACTAAGTACTCGAGTTGCATTATTCAAGTTAGAGTTAACTTTCAGTATTCGCAAAAGTCTGTGGCGTGTTGCTACAAGGATTAGAGTTTAATCCTTAGGTTTGCAACAGATTTGTAAACTTTGTTGTTTGGGTCGGAGTTATAGTGAAGTGTTTGAGAAAATCGTACTGGGAAGTAGGTCGTGATTTTTTCACCTTTTGAGCTGGGTATTTTCGACGTAAAAATACTTGTGTTCTTTACTGCATTACTTATTCCGCAAAGGAACACATAAAAGAACCAGGTCCTTCTATAATCTAGTGCACGCAAAAATTAGACACCACACAAATCATCCCCATCCCCCTCTTGTGTGGTATTAAAGTACAAAATATCAATTGGCATCAGAGCAGGTTATCCTTGAAGAGGCTAACACCTTAGGAAAAGATCAAGATGAGTGTACTACCTGAAAACTGTAAAGAGCAATCCACTACTAGGCCACCACTATCCAATGCTCATTGCTATTCTTGGTGGAAGGAAAGAATATGAGATCACTCGCAGATAACTGATGGATGCTTCAAATGTAGTAAACAGTACCACATGATCAAGAACTGTCCTATGTGGGAAGTCGAATGAAAAAATGAGAGATCTGAAAGAAGGAACAAGTTCATGAAAAGAAGAACTACAATAAAGGGCCATCTAAAGCAATTATTGCTACTTAGGAAGATAATTTAAATGAGTACACTGATGATGGTGATGCTAAACGAGCTCTCATGGCAATTGGAGAATGTAAAGATGAACCTGATGAAGAATCTAAGATAAGTTTTCTGAACCTAAAGGATAAAAATTCCTTTCTAAAGAAAGACTATTAGAACGGTTGCTAATTATAGTTGATGAATCTAAGAATATAAGTTCTGAAAAAGAACAGTTTTCAAAAGAGTGTAACTTTTTAAAAGCAGAATGCAAAAACTTGGAAATAAAAGCTTGTAAAACTGAAAAGGAAAATACTGCTTTGAAGAACCACGTTCATGTACTTGATACAAGCATTTTAGAACATAGATCTGAAAATCTGATGTTAAAGTTAGGAACATGTAAAGGAATAGCCAGTGATGAACAACTCGAACTAGAGGATGACTTAAGAAAGTTTAAAGATGAGTGATAAGTGTGAATTTTAATTACTTATTAGTACCTTCGTGCTTTAGTTTTCAGTCCGAAAGTAGTAATTTTTATTTTCGAATCTAATGAAAATGTGTGAATTGCAGGCATGCCGGAGGATATAAGCTCAACGAAGAAATCTAACTCAAAAAGGAGACGTCCCAACTCAAATAGCCAAACAGGAGAAATGCAAAGAATTGTGCGGTCCACAGAACTTTCTGCGGTCGCAGATGCAGGTTCGACCCGCAAAAAGAATAGTGCGGCCGTAGAGTAACCACTAAAGCTTTAAAGGCGCTTAGTAGCAGCGCGGTCCGCACACCAAATTGTGCAGCTGCAGAAGCTGCTCGCACTGACAAGCTTGAAAAGATGAAATAAGATGCAAAAGACCAAGTCTGAAGCCTCGTTGAAGTGTGGTCCACAACCAAATTGTGCGACTGCACAAGCTGAAGTGCACCGCAGAATTTATCGTGCGGTTGCAAAATCCCAACTACTGCAAGAGCACCAGATGAAAGTGCGGACCGCAGTTGAAATATGCGGCCGCAGAACCTCCCGGATGGCATTTTTGTTAGTGAATTTTAGAGCACTATAAATAGATGAGAAACACTTTTTTATGGCAACTTTTGTACTGTAGCAGCTGGTAACGGTTAGACTTAGCAATTTTGGGAAATTTGTGATTAGAATTAGAGAAAACCCATTACTTTTACTCGTTAATTTTATCTTTATGTCTTCAATTACTTCTTCTTTTTTTATTTTCCATATCTTTGATTATGAATAACTAGATTTTATCTAGGGTTGTGACCCAACCCTAGTGTGTAAAACTTATGGGTATTTAATATTAATGCTTATTATTGATTGAGTATATGTTATTTAGCTTTGTTTATACTTTATATCTAGAATTAATGGTTGCAAACATTGATTCATTCCTGTTTGATTTAGTTCTTACTTGACAAAGAGGAACCCAGTCTAGGAAATCTTAGCTAATAAGAAATTAAACTAGTTGAAGTTTTGATTAGTTTAATTAAAGGATTTGAACTAGAGATAGGTATAATCCCACTTGGACTCATATCAATTGTTTAAATTGCTACCCATTTGGTCTTAAAAAAGACAATTTGAGCATAATCACGCTTTGACTGAGAGGTATTGAGTGGGTACTTGAGAATTAAGAGTCATAACACGCCCCGATCTACCAAACAAGCATAGATTTACTCAAAAGTTTATAATTTAACTATTAGAATAATTACTCAGCCCAAATTGGAAGATTCCTAAATTTCATCCTCAGACCCACATTCCCGGATTCCGAAAATATTTATAAATAAATATTACCCATAACCTCACGAACACAAATATATAATTTTTACTCAATTTCATAATCATTTTCGTAGTCTAATCCCATTTTTATCAAAACCTAGATTTTTCAATAAAATACTAAAATTTCTACAATTTCCATGTTAAAACCTACCCATAATCTATGTATTAAACTCACATTATGTAGAATACACTTACCTCAAGATTCTAGGTAAAATTTCCTCTCTAAAGAGCTCCAAAATCGGCCAAGAGATGTCTGGAAATGAAAGAAATGGCCCAATTCCCGATTTAAATTAAAACACTGCCCAGGCCTGCCTTCTACGCGATCGCGAACAAAATCTCACGATCGTGAAAGCAAAACTGTCCTAGCCCCTGAAAACCTCTTATGCGATCGCGAGAAAGCCTCCGTGAACGCAAAACACAAGCCCTGCCAACCTAAGCGAACGCAGCCAGCCCTTCGCGAACGCGAAGGGCATTTAACCTGCCAGCCCCCAGGCTAAGCCTTCTTCACGAACGCGCGCGAACGCGATGGCTAGTGGCCTAGAGCCTTCGCGATTGCGAGCTCCTTTTCATAAACGCGTAGAAAAAAATCTCCCATGCCCAATTTCTTCATTGCGAACGTGAAGCCTTTTCCCTGTTCGCGAAGAAGGAAACCGGAACAGCAGATATCAGAAATTTGGACTTAACTCTGGGTGGTCCGAAACTCACGCGAGCCACCCGGGACCCCGTCCTATTGCACCAACAAGTTCATAAATATAATACGGACGTGATCAAACCCTCGGAAGGCATAAAACAACATCAAAACTAAGAATCACACCCCAAAACCAAATTGAATCAACTTTTGAACTTCAAACTTTTAAACTAGCTCCGAACGCGTCGAATCTTACTTAGACAACTCGGAATGACATCAAATTTTGTGTACAAGTCATA